ATTATGTCCAACAAAAGGTTGACTTTAAGAGTGGAATTTCTTTCTCAGTTCTCTTCTCTCTCTGTTTTACTCCTGTCTCCATCCACAGGCCGTGCTCTTGCAATCCTTCTGGCAGCGTGGATGAGTGTAATGTTGAAACAGGAAGATGTGTTTGCAAAGACAACGTTGAAGGCTTCAGCTGCGAGAGGTAAGTGCATTTTTCCTCTGGCCGTACTGTTTTTTTCTGGCCTCATATTTCAAGTCCAAGAAACTCCTGATTATATCTTTATGTTTTTCAGATGCAAACCTGGATTTTTTAATCTGGAACCCTCCAATCCGAGGGGTTGCACACCCTGCTTCTGCTTCGGGCATTCTTCTGTCTGTACAAATGCTGTCGGCTACAGCATCTATCCGATAACCTCTACCTTTCAGATCGGTAATTTGGACCTTCCCTTCTGTCTCCCAGAATTAAGAGACTGGACTTATGGTATTTTTTAAAAAATCAGTAACTTTTTGAGGATTTTTTTGATGGTGGCAACATTCCGTTTTTAAATGTTAATAGTTTTTTTGTTTGGCTCTCTGTTTGGCTTTTTGTTTTTTATTTATTTTTAAGGATTTTATTTATTTATTTGAGAGAGAGAGAGAGGAGCAGGCTTCCCGCTGAGCAGAGAGCCCGATGTAGGGCTCGATCCCAAGACCCTGAGATCATGACCTGAGCCGAAGGCAGAGGCTTAACCAGCTGAGCCACCCAGGCGTCCCCTGTTTGGCTTTTTAATTTAATGAAAACATATGGATTTACGGTTTACTATAGGATAAACTTTTGTAAAATCAAAATATAGCTTGAGGGTAAGCGTACACAGGTACCGTCGTAGGATCCGTGTATTCAGAAGTACTTATTGGTGACTTTCTGTATTTTTTGGTGTTGTATAGAGGACCTGAATTCAGGATGCTCACAGTGTGATGTGCTTCCTTCCTGTGCTTGCAGATGAAGACGGGTGGCGTGTGGAGCAGAGGGACGGCTCTGAAGCGTCGCTGGAGTGGTCCTCTGAGAGGCAGGATATTGCCGTCATCTCAGATAGCTACTTCCCTAGGTACTTCATTGCTCCCGGTAAGTAAGGCTCAGCAGCAGTCTGGTGTGAAGAGTGCTCCTGTCTACTCTCCTTCTCACCTTGCCCACCACTGTGTCTATTTGCAGCTAAGTTCTTGGGCAAGCAGGTGTTCAGTTATGGTCAGAACCTCTCCTTCTCCTTTCGGGTGGACAGGCGAGACACTCGCCTCTCTGCAGAAGACCTGGTGCTCGAGGGAGCTGGCCTGAGAGTGTCCGTGCCCTTGATCGCTCAGGGCAATGCCTATCCGAGTGAGACCACTGTGAAATACGTCTTCAGGTAAGATGGTCTTCTTTGTAAAGTCTGACTTGAGTGGAGTTGTAAAAGTGGTTTCTTTACCTAAGCTTATCAGGCCTCAAGCTGTTGAAGAAAAACGTTTGGAGGGGCACCTGGGTGGCTCAGTGGGTTAAAGGCTCTGCCTTTGGCTCAGGTCATGATCTCAGGGTCCTGGGATCAAGCCCCGCATCGGGCTCTCTGCTCAGCAGGGAGCCTGCTTCCCTCCCTCTCCCTCTGCCTGCCTCTCTGCCTACTTGTGATCTCTGTCAAATAAATAAATAGAATCTTTAAAAAAAAAAAAAAAGTTGGGGTTATAAAGATGATTTTGGAAGAGGAAGCCTTCCCTTTATTTACTGTGCCCTTTCCAGCTGTACTATTAAACCAACAGACCCGTTTCCGACTTGGTTAGATAGTCAGAGCATTGCACTGTTGGTGGCAGAAATGCATACGAAATGCTTTCTCAGCACCCACAGCTGTCCTGACCGGGGCTAACGTGGCCCTTTCTTTCTCTCTAGGCTCCATGAAGCAACAGATTACCCTTGGAGGCCTCCTCTTACCCCTTTCGAATTTCAGAAGCTCTTAAACAATTTGACCTCTATCAAAATCCGTGGGACGTATAGTGAGAGAAGTAAGTTATGATATAATTTGAGAACATTAAGATGATTGGGCTGAAGGGTCTGCATAATGCAAAACTTGATCTCTAAAGTCCCAATACTATAGCATTGGTCCTATAGAAGTGAATGAATTATCTCAGTATACATGAATTATGTATAAAATTAATGCACTTGTTAAACCACTTTCAAGGACCTGGAGAAAATTTGCTAGAATTAGTAAATGGCATTGTTTTATAATGACTAAGACTAATGAGGTGACTTTATATCTAAACATAGTCTAAGAATCTTACCTGTAGTTCTGCCAGCTCACATGCTTAACCTTTATTTCTTTCTATTTATTGCTATTAATTATCAAGCCCTTTAAACTATCAGCTAAATCATGAAAAACTATAAATTCCTGAGTGAAGGTTCATTATCATGTTAAACAGAGCTGTTTTCAATATGCCTTTAAAATCCTTCCTTATAATTTTTTTTTTAAATGAGGACCTTTTTCTGTAGAAAGCTCAGGCTGTTTGGGTGGAGTCAGAGGGGAGGTGGTGTGGCGTGGTGAGTCTTGTTTGCAGCTTGGATGTGTTGGTTTTTGAGATGCCTACGTGAATATCCAGACAAAAGTATCTTGTAAGTTGTTAGAAATAACGGTCTGGGGCTTAGGAATAAGTTAGGACTGGAGATCTAGAGTTGAAAGGTTGACTACCCAGAAACATAGTTATCTAAGGGCCATGTGTTGAGACTTAAGGGAGAAAAAAGAATTTTAAGGAAGAGAAATAATGAATGGGTTTTTTAAAGATGGTGCCATTGGATTTCGGATTGGGGACTAAGGAATCATTGGTGATTTTTTTTTTTTTTTTAAAGAAGTGTTGAAAGTGAAGTTACGCTGCAGGGCTTTGACAAGTAATTTGAAGGTAAAGAAGTAAAATAAAGCTTATTCTTTTAAGAAGTTTGGCTGTAAGGGAAGGAAAAGAGGTGGATTATCATTCAAGCGTAGGGACTCGAGAGGAAGAGCGCTTTTTAGGATGGGAGACGTAAGAATGGTTAGAATTGGAAGCATATCATCCAATGGGTATATCTCATGATCTAGCTGTTGACAAAATCCATAAATGTATTAAAAGTAGCTAAGTTCAGAGCAGTCATAGAAGAGATGTCCTTCAGCCTGAGGTGGTCAGTTTCTAAGGATTCTATAAAAGGCAGGTGAAATTTCATGACATAGGGAAAGGATGATGTAATTAAGGACTGCCACTTGGTGGCATGTTCCTGCTGAGGCCGTCACAGGCCCTGTTGGGTTGGATGACCCACTTGTCTAAACCAATTTACGGCTTCCTCTGTTTTTATTTTCTTCTGGAAGCCGGGAAGCACTGTGACATACGGCACACTGACTTTGGAGTTATTGCACATTTGCCAAAATAGCCCTGAATATTAAAACTTGGGGGGCACCTGGGTGGCTCAGTGGGTTAAAGCCTCTGCCTTCAGCTCAGGTCATGATCCCAGAGTCCTGGGATCGAGCCCCGCATTGGGCTCTCTGCTCAGTGGGGAGCCTGCTTCCTCCTCTTTCTCTGCCTACTTCTCTGCCTACTTGCGATCTCTGTCTGTCCAATAAATAAATAAAAAATCTTTGAAAAACTTGGTCACCAGTTTTTCCTATTTTCTGCCAGGCAAAAAAAAGGAATAATTGAGTGGTGCTTGTTGGCAGGTGTGTTCCTTGCTGTCTTATCCCTGAACTCTACAGTCAGGGCCTGCTTTTGTAGCAAAAGAACAGAAACATTGCTTAATGGCTACAGACTCTTGTCTCCTACCTTCTTGCTCTGATCTCCCCTTGGCCCAGAATACTGTCCTGTGCTTTTACTTTTATATATTGGTGATTGAGACACCTGTCAAACCCCACAGAGCTGGTTGGGTGTGTGTTTAAGATGTGTTTGCCATCATGCCCTTCCAGATCCTCAGCACCGGGTGCCCCATGATTGTCGTGAATGCTGTTTTCAAGTTATCTCCCCCAATAGATAAGTTAAGCCAATGGCTGATTGTCTCTGGAATTTTGTGTCTGATTCCTCTTTAGCTTTATTACCTTTCTGTAAGCTTTTGGAACACAGAAGCCCGTTCACTGACTCTCTGATCTACACCACACGCAGGTGCTGGGTATTTGAATGATGTCACCCTGACAAGCGCTGGCCGGGGGCCCGGGGTGCCTGCCACTTGGGTGGAGTCCTGCACCTGTCCTGTGGGATACGGCGGGCAGTTCTGTGAGATGTGCCTCTCGGGTTACAGAAGAGAGACTCCGAGTCTCGGGCCGTACAGCCCGTGTGTGCTTTGTACCTGCAACGGACACAGCGAGACCTGTGACCCTGAGACAGGTGAGACAACGAGCTCTGGGGGCCGCTGGACTGAAATCCTCTTCAGCGGACAGGCAGGAAAGTGCTCCTGGTCTTACCTGCTGGCACACTCCCTGTTTTCTCACACCCCCTCTCCACACAGGCGTCTGTGACTGCAGAGACAACACGGCCGGCCCCCACTGCGAGAAGTGTGACGATGGGTACTACGGTGGCCCAACCTCGGGTACCTCCTCCGACTGCCAGCCCTGCCCGTGTCCTGGGGGCTCAAGCTGTGCCGTCGTCCCCAAGACGCAGGAGGTGGTGTGCACCAACTGTCCTACTGGCACCACCGGTCAGTCCGTGTTCCATCTGACAAAAATACGTTAGGGCGCAGAGCCTGGGGGACTTGCAGATTTTGTTGGGCTGTTTGGCGCCGTGATTACAGTCATCTAAGCGGGCAAAAGTTGTGCATGAAAGAGATTTATTATGGATTCATAAAATGCATATCAGATACAAACAATAGCTAACACATTTACAGCCACGTACTTCTCTAAGCACTGTACACCTTCTGCCTCAGTGATCTTCACAGCCCCTTGACGTGGGTTCTGCTGGGATCCCCATACTACAGCTAAGAACACTGAGGCACAGAGACATGAAGTCACTCACATGTCCAAGCTGCCTGGCTGGTCGCTGGAGGAGCTCATGACCACCCCCGTGTGTTCTCCCACCTAAGATGAGAACCAATGCTTGATTTTTAGTTTGTGGGGCTGTCCTGGGATTCTTGATATAAAGTGGTAATTTTTAAATTCTTTAAATTCATTCTGTTCTTTCTTCAATAGTCCTTTCAGTGCATCAGAGCCCATCACATTTAGTTAGGAAAACATATTTTTATAGCTTTGGGTAGACATCTGTTCCTATTCTCTGAGTCTTTCTTTTTGATAAGAACCTAAAACTTGATCTTTCCTAACTACTCAAGGAACAGTCTTGCTGACTGACTGAGGAGGTCACTGGTGACCATTCCTCCATTGACTTCAGCCTCCATGTAATGGTGAGGTTCTGGCTAGGCTTCTGATAGAACCCTTGACTCCATCACAGACTTTTTTCTTCAAAAGATATCGCTGCCTGAAAATAAGTGAGACAAAAAAACCACTCAGCTAATAATTTGTATCTCTTGTACATCATCAAAACACTCTTTAATCCTAGGGAAACATCAAAATGCCCCATCTTCCCTTTTCTACTCCTCTGACCCCACACTAAGCACAAGGGCATTGCAACATGGAGGGATTCAATCATTTGCTTAAGGTAGTTGAGAAAATAAGAGGTAGACACCAGTGTAGACTTTCAGATTTTTTACTCTTTGTGTACGTGTATTATAAAACAGTGGCCCAACAGCGGCTCACAGATGGATTTCTCCAATCTCATTCCCCGTTACCCTCTGTTGCCTTTGTGGTCTCCGCTGTAGCTGTCCTGGGCTTCTTGTAATCCATCAGATCAGCCACACTCTATGTCCTTTTATGCACAGTCTGCCTTTTTTAGAACATTTTACCCCAGCTTGTTCCACCCAGACCTCATTTTTCTTGTTCAACTCCGATCTTTACCTTGGAGTTGGGTTGAAACATCACTTTCTGCAATGAACCCGCCCTACACCACTCCCTCAGGTTTTTAGGACCTTTTTTCCACTCTGCTGCCGCAGCATATAGCAAGCATCCCCCTGCAGAATCTCTTCTTAGATGTACTTAATATGGCATTTTGATGAGAGATCCGTTTGCTCATTCTGTTGGTCCGTTGGGTAGACTGCAAGCCTAAAGTTAAGGTAAGCATTGGAGATGTTCTCATGGCCATGCTGAAGAAAACAAATGGTGAGTCGAGACGACTTGGGATACATGCTGGAGCGATGGAGTGTCCTCTAGGAGATCTTGCAAAATGTTGTAAACTTGTTAGTCTGTAACCAGATTCTCTCACACAAGACTCGTGAGCTATGTTTGTTTTGTTAGTTACCATCTGACTTGCGGGTGTTCGTGTGAGTCTGTAGAGGTCCACGTGCAAAGCAGCATAGACCCTGCGGAAGATGATGCCGTCACTCGTTAGTCCTATATCCCACTTTCCTTTTTTCATAGCACTTTTTAAACACTTGGTATTTTTCTGTTTATTCATTTATTCATTGTCTATCTTCCCCCTTCCAAGCCCCTAACCCCTGTTAAGCTCCGCAACAGGAGGGACATTTGTCTGTTCTATTGACTTTTGTATTCCCAACACCCAGAATAGCACCTGACGCGTATGCTTGTTGAATGAATGCAGATATTTTTTGGCTAACGAGTAGAGTTTGCAGATACGGGGTAAGATGTTTCTCATTTAGAAGACAAGCGAAGAACAGAAGAACTGCCTGTAGCCCCTGAGCTCCGTGCACATGCTGTGCTTCACATTTGACCTTTAAAATGATCTTTTGAGGCAAATTAATAATAATGATGATGATGATACTCTTTTTTTCATCACATTTATTTGAGTGCCTGGCTTTGGGAATACAGAAATGAATAAGAGACGGTCCCTGCTCTTCAGGGGCTAAAAGTATAGCTGGAAACACAGGTAAATTTAAGACCATGCTAGAGGAGAAGGAACAATGCCTCCCCCGGAGGGGGAGGAATGATAAGGAAAGCTGAGGCAAAAAAAAAAAGTACCTAACTTGCCCAGAGTCATGTAAGTAGTACATCCAGGACTTGAACCTACATCCTGGACTGAGACAAAAGGATAGCTTAGCTGTTATTGCCAGAAGGTACTTTGGCATGAAAGCTTTCCATGGGCTCCCGTGCACCCCTGTTTTCGGTTTTCTACCAGATTAAAAAAAAAAAGTTTTATTCAAAACAGGTTCCAAAGCATTTTTAATATAGATCCTATCTAGAATGGCCAAGTGATCCTGTGAAAAAGCAGAGCTGACGTGCTGTCCTAATCCTGATCTAGAGAAGGATCTCGGGTGAGGGTCTGGTAACTGTTCACACCAGAGACAAGAAGGGCCTGCGTAGCATCCATTCTTCCTCTCCCAGCCCGCCCCCAGCCATAGGTTCGGTTCTGTTCTGTTCGCCTCACCAGTGACCACCAGTTACCACCGTTTGCCAAACGCAGGGGTCAGTTTTCAGTCCTCCTCTGACCCGGTCTCAGCAACGCGGGACCCTGGTGACTGCTCACTCCGCCCCACACATTTCTCCTTTCGTCTTTGGGGACGCTGCCCTCTCTTGGGTCTCTTTCCGTCCCTCTTCTCTTGAGGCTCCTTTTATCACTTCTGATTCTCAGCCTGAGACTCCCATGTCCACTTGATCTGTATTCTCCCCTCAGGTGAACAGATCTCGTCTTCTAGCTTCAAAAGGCTTTCGGTGCCTCCTGAAAAATCTGTCTTAGGTCCTGACCACACTCTCTGCCGGGCGCCGGCTACCTACTTGCCATCTTCGCTTGGCTGGTGGGCTACAAGCCTTCCGTTTGTCCCTGCACATCCTTTCTTCATTTTTTCCACCCCAGGGCACCTGTACCCATGCATCACATGGGCCCTCCGTTTGTGTTCAGGGATCAGGAAGCACCTAGAGGAGATCAGAGAGATGGGGGGAGGGTGGGGCAGAGTTTTTAGTCCAAGGCCCCCCTCTCTGGGGTCGAGGGGGGTCCTTGTGGCTTAGTGACCTTCCTCAGGGTTCTCAGCTCCTGACACTGGCTTTCTCCAAACAGCCCTTCCTCACGTGAGATTCTGGTTAACTGCTCCCTCCACCCAGCCCCTGAGGCCCAGGTCACAGAGCCCCACAGTCACTACCCCCGGGGCTACCCTGTCCCCTGGGATTGCTTACACCTTGTCCACACTCGTGTAGTTGGTATCCTTATTAAACTCTCTTCAGGTCTTGCTAATTTGAACGTGTCTTTTTAATTTTCTGCTTGAGTCAGATGGCTAAAGGCATCGCAAATTTAAGCAAATCCAAGCTAAATCTTTGACTTCTTCCCTTTTTCTTCAACCCCAACCCTGTCCTTCCCCAGTCTTATTCATCTCAGTGAAAAGACTACCACTCACCTAGTTGCTCCGGCTATAAGCTAAAATCCTAGGCTTGTCCTTGATTCTTCTTTCTTTTATTTCCTGAAGCAGTCAGCCAGCATGTGTGACAGGCTCGATCTCACATCTGAGTTTCACGGCCTCCACTGCCACTGCCCTGGTCCACACCACTGTGGTCTCTCGCCTGGAAGAGCCTCCTCATGGGTCTCCCTGCAGTCCATTCTCATACTGCTGCCAGGATAATCCTTTTAAAATGTAAATCGAGGGCACCTAGGTGGCTTAGTCCCTTAAGCATCTGACTCTGGTTCAGGTCATGATCGTGGGGTCCTAGGATAAAGCCCTTGTCAGGGTTCTGTGCTCAGTGGGGAGTCTGCTTCTCCCTCTCCCTCTGCCCCCCACTTGTTTTCTCTCAAATAAATAAATCTTAAAAAAAAATGTAAATCAGGGCATGTCACTTTAAAAACCCTCTAATATCACCTCATTGTACCTTAATTTAAACCAGATTTTTTTAAATACTATGATCTACATGATTGGCTCTTACTACTTCTGTAAGCTTATCGTGTTTTTCTGGAACATTCTTTCCTTGGATATTAGCATGGCTGTTTGTTGTTGTTTTTTTTTTTTTCCTGTCTTTCCGTTGTCATCCCAGGTATCTCTTCTCTACAGAGCTTTCTCTAACCACCCAGTGAAGTAGCCCTTAACCCCGTCACTATGTCATGTTGCTCTGTTTTGTTTAATTTGTTATGATTATCCTCATCCAAAATAATCTTTTTATTTAGGTATCCGTGGATTGCTTTCCCCCAACTATAGTGTAAACTTCGACAAGAGATCTTGTCTACCTTGTTCACCACATCATCCCGACAATTGAGAACAGCATTTATGTGTAAGAGATGCTCAGCGAATGTTCATTAAATGAGCAAATGAGCAAACTTTTATTTCTCCAGAAGCTTAAGTTAATTCATTCCCTGTCAGCTACAAAGATATTAAGATTCCAGCTTGAGGGGCGCCTGGGTGGCTCAGCAGGTTAAAGCCTCTGCCTTCGGCTCAGGTCATGGTCTCAGGGTCCTGGGATCGAGCCCCGCATCAGGCTCTCTGCTCGGTGGGGAGCCTGCTTCCCCCTCTCTCTCTGCCTGCCTCTCTGCCTACTTGTAATCTCTGTCTGTCAAATAAATAAAATCTTAAAAAAAAAAAGATTCCACCTTGAGCTAATAATGATGGGAAAGTAGAAAAGGAAGGAGGAGGAGCAGTGAGTATGCTGGAAAGAGTCCTGGATTCTAGCTGTTTGATTGTGGGCAAGTTACTTAATCTCTCTGATCCCTTTGCTATAATAGAAGCTGGAGGCAAATGGCAGTCTCTGAGTTCTCTTCTAAGATACTCTGATTCTGTACTAGTTGGCAGAGCTCAACGAAGGATTAGCCCATGTCTTGTCTTTTTTAGGGAGTTGTCCTGCTTGCTCTGTTGTATAGGAAAGTGATGGTACTGAGGGGCACTTCATCTCTTTTAATATCATAAACCAAAACAAACATATGAATGCGCTGTCCCTTGGGCCTGAGCCCGACTCATTTACAAAGCACTTTGAATGCACGATGATAGCTAGTCCTCAGGACAGGTGAAGTGCAGTAGGCAGAGCAGGTGCTGTCTTTCTGATGGCAAAATGGTGATGTGCCCAGAGGCACTCCACTGGTCTGGCACCAAGCCAGGACTGCAGCCCCGGTCCGCTGCTCTCCTGGGCTGGTGCCCTGTCCACTGTGTCATGTTGTCCCCCACCTGATGGTTCACCTGCGCACTTGGTAACCAGACTGCTTGTGCGCAGTAGCACCAGGAACGTCTGAGGCCTTTCTTGCATAACAGCAGATTGTCTCATGTGCAGGTAAAAGGTGCGAGCTCTGTGACGACGGCTACTTTGGAGACCCTCTGGGGAGAAACGGCCCTGTGAGGCTTTGCCGCCTCTGTCAGTGCAATGACAACATCGACCCCAATGCCGTTGGCAATTGCAATCGCTTGACAGGAGAGTGCCTGAAATGCATCTATAACACCGCTGGCTTCTACTGTGACCGCTGCAAAGATGGGTTTTTTGGAAATCCCCTGGCTCCCAACCCAGCAGACAAATGCAAAGGTAATCTAGCCATCGGCCAGGTTCTGTTACAGTCGTACTCATTTATTCTGAGAATTCATCTTGCGGTTGGTTTAGATATTTACGGATGCTTGGTCTAAGGCAGCACTGTTCAGCAGAAACGTAGTATCAACCTCTCGTATAATTGAAGTTTTCTTGTAAACACATCAAAATAAAGAGAAACAGATGAAGTTGTCTTTAAATCCTGTATTTTATTTACTCTACCATAATATCATTTCAATGAGTCATCCACTAAAAACTATGGAGAGCCACGTTCTGTGTCCTGCGTACCAGCTCATCAGAATCCAGCGTGTGTTTCCCATTCACAGCCCCTCTCGAGACCGGCCACGTCGCAAGCCCTCGGTAGCCATGGGCGACTCGTGGCTGCTGCGCTGATCAGCTGAAATCAGAACAATCTGTGCTGCTTACATTTTAGTATTTCTGTCGGGTGACTTGCATCTCTTGCTGTCTCCGTCTCTCCCCCCAGCCTGTGCGTGCAATCGCTACGGAACCGCGTCGCAGCAGGGCGGCTGCAGCCCCGTCACGGGCCAGTGCGAGTGTCTGCCCCACGTGACCGGCCGGGACTGTGGCGCCTGCGAGCCCGGCTTCTACAACCTGCAGAGCGGGCGCGGCTGTGAGAGGTGAGACGCCGGCTGCCGTTGCGGGAAGGACGCTGTGCTTTTTTTTTGTTGTTTTTTTTTTCCATTGTGAGAGATGGGTTTTTATGAGTTACCCGTAACGGTAGCCTCGATTTTGTTCAGGAATTATTTGAGTGCCTCACTTGAGAGGCAGTACTGGACAGTGGTACTGGAGCTACTGGGAGGGCGGAGTGGAGTGAAGCTGCCCTAGAGGTGTCAGAGTCACCCAGGCGACCTTTCAGACATGACACCTTCTGAGGCGCTGTCTGAGATGCTCAGGGTCAGGCTCTCGGGGGCCTGCAGCCTGGGAGTTTCTATTTTCAAAGTTCCTGGTCAGCCCCGAGGGGGTGCCAGGTTGGAGAGCCCCTTTGTAATGGTTTTAGGAGTGGACTAACCCTGTTTGTGGGTGAGGTTAGAAAGAGAGGTTCTGAGTAGAACTCATGGAAATTGCTCGAACCTCGGGTGCTTAATGACCCTTACCATTTTGTTTTAATAGCCCTTTAGATTCTGTTTTCTGGTACAAATCACATCAGTTCTGCACTGAGCGGGGGTGGGAGGAAGGTTTGCTTAGAGTCTGTTTTTCTCACGGGAGAAACATCACGTGTTCATTTGCAGGTGCGACTGCCATGCATTGGGTTCCACCAATGGACAGTGTGACGTCCGCACCGGCCAGTGCGAGTGCCAGCCCGGCATCGCAGGCCAGCACTGTGAGCGCTGCGAGCTCAACCACTTCGGCTTTGGGCCCGAAGGCTGCAAACGTAAGGAGCTGGGAGCGTAGAGCTCTGAGTCTTTCCTGATTCCAGTTAGGACCATGGACGTCGACAGTCAGGGCTGTACCTAAGTCCTCACAGAGGCTTGAGGCTGTGAAAAGCCTCCTTTCCTGAAGCCGGGGCTTGAGAGCTTCTCTCGTTCCTTGGCAGGCACCTTACTTACATCTTCTTGTGTCCCATTTCTGATTCTTTTTCCAGTCTTTTGTCTTCCCAAGGAAGGTCTTCCTTTGATCACCGGGCTTTCCCACTGTGCTTCACAAAAAGCACATTCTTAGAGCAGATAATGAGACAGGGAGACTCTGCTCACAGCTCACTTGTTGGCTGGCTTACCAGTCGCTTCCCACCCTTGGGGCCCTCTTGGTGCGCTTGCATCTACACATCTGCTTCTCCTTGGCGTAAACACTTGCCTGGAATGAAGCCTCGGAACCGTTTGGTGTTTTGCTTTCTGAATTCCTTCATTTCTCCTGTGGAATGTAGCATAAATCATTGACCCAGTTCCGAGAACAAAGCGAGTAAACAAACTATAAAATAATGCAAAATACATATTAGCATTTGGGTTTTCTAGTTCCTTAATGAGAGAAATATTAAACAGCAGAGACATGGAGGTAGAGAAGAATTCTTGAAATGCATGAAATGGCACCGATGAGTTTAATAGTCTAATGTCTGTAAGTACTCAGTGACGGGAAATGTGTCCCTTCCGAGGGATGCTGCACTTTGTACTTTAAAACTCGTTTTGCTTAAAAATTTCTGTTCTCTCTACTGAGCGACTTAACCATTTGAATTCTCGTAATTTGACCTGTTTTTCAAAAACATACCTACGTATGATGAGAGTACCATCAGCTTACTCATGTCAATCTGAGTTAAAAGACAATGCATTCTCCCTTCCTTTCTCTATCATAGACTCTTTTTACTTTATTCTGCAGCCTGTGACTGTCATCCCGAGGGATCTCTTTCACTCCAGTGCAAAGACAATGGTCGCTGTGAATGTAAACAGGGTTTTGTGGGAAATCGCTGTGACCAGTGTGAAGAGAACTATTTCTACAATCGGTCTTGGCCTGGCTGCCAGGAGTGTCCAGCCTGTTACCGGCTGGTAAAGGATAAGGTAAGCTGTCAACAGGGCAGTTGCTCGTTCATTCATTCATCATTCATTCATTCATTCATTCAGTAGACCTTGAATGGGTGCTTCCTGTGTACTGAGCACTAGAGAACAAAGGATGAATAAGATTGGCATGGCCCCTGTCCTGAAAGACTTATGTTCCAGTTGGGAGACAAATAATAAAAATTAAATAAAGAAATAGTAACTAAGATAAGCGCCAGAAAGAACACAAACAGAGAATAACTGGGAGAACGACTTTATATAAGTCCTCTCTGAGGACATTTATTTAAGGTGAGATCTTAAGAATAAGAAGGAACAAGCCTAATGAGAAGTGATGGGTAGGCTGTTTCAGGCAGAGGGAATGTGGGGTACAAGGACCTCAAAGGTGGAGGGTGTCTGGAGCCTCCTGAGTGAGGAGGGAGTGGTTTGTGATAAGACCAGAGAGGTTGGTAAGACAGCTCATGTCACACCATGTCAACCACAGGAAGGGATGTAGATTTTATTCCATATCCAGCAGGAATGCACAGAGCAGTTTTAAGCTAGGAAATCCAGTTTATATTTTAAGAAGAATGCTCTGACTGTTATGTGAAGAATGATGGTTAGGAGTAGGGCAAAAGGGCAAGCCTGGATTGAACTGGGTAAGTATGTGTGTTTGGGGGGCAGGGTATTAGAGGGGGGCAAGGATAGAGAAAGAGAATCACCAAGGATGCATCTTGGGTTTTTTGCTTAAGGTACATGGAGGCATTGTTTATTGAAATGGAGATGACTCAGGGGAAGAAGATTTAAGAGAAGAAAGTCAAGAGTATAGTTTTGGATGTTGAGTTGAGATACCCATCAGAGCTGAGTGGAGGTATCAGGAGAGCAATCTAAAATGCAAGGGAGAAGTGAGAACTGGAGAATCCTCAACAGGTAGTGTTTCATGTCAAAGGAATGGGCTTGATAGTTTTTCTCTTGAAGCCAGAGAAATTAAAACTACCCATGTTACCTGTTTAAAAGTAGATAACATGTGGAGTGTATAGACCTACGTATTTATAGGGTGAGCGCCCCTTTGATGATCATTCCTGCGGGAAGTACCGCTGAGTTCTTCAGGAATATTTGCATGTGCTGCCTTTCCCTTTTCTACCTTGATTATGTTCAGGTCGCTGATCATCGAGTGAAACTCCAGGAATTAGAGAATCTCATAGCAAACCTTGGAACTGGGGAAGAGGCGGTGACAGATCAAGCCTTTGAGGACAGACTGAAGGAAGCAGAGAGAGAAGTTATGGACCTCCTTCGAGAGGCCCAGGATGTCAAAGGTATACATGTTAACCAGTAGGTAACTCCTGCCAGATGGCCCAGTCTTTAGACATGGCTCCTAGTTCAAGGTTATTTAGTATGGCTTTATAAAATTCTTCCTCAATTTTTAAACTATTTGTAGAATCTGAATTTTTTTAAAACAATATGTGAAAATACAAGAACTTGTTTTAAGATACAGTAAGCAAAAATAATTCTCCCAACACATCAGAAACTATTAAATGCTGAAATTCCAGGTGTTAAATCTGTTCCATTACAAAGTGTTTTCAAACAGTTTTTAAAAATCAAGAAAGGTATGTGTTTTGGGCGTGCGTTATTTTAGTTGAAAATTTGAAGTTGGATTCTTCTGTCAGTCTACTGAGTGAGAATTTATCTTCTACACTGCTTTATTTCCTTAGAAAGGACCCTCATAAGGAAAAATTGTAGTCTTCAAGTCAATACTAAATACATAACACCTGGTATTTATGAAAGATTAGAAGTTAGTGCCTACTTATGAAATTTTCTGTTTAATAAGTGAACAGATGTGCTAGTAACATCATGTAAAAGCATATATTTTATATTATGTGCCTATTTAATGTCCTTTGAAATTATGTTGCTCCCCCATATATTATCCGATGAGACTGATGATAAGCAGAGGGATTGGCTTAAGATTTAGAAAACAGTTTATTTTAAAATACCTTATTAACTTCAAAGGAACTTGAATTTGTAAAACTTTGCAAGTAGGAAAAAGTTATTTTAAATTATTTACTTGTTTTTGAATCACTTTTTTAAAATCACTTTTTTTAAAAGATATATTTGTTTATTTGAGAGCGAGTGACCAAGAGCCAGCGAACAGGGGGAGGGGCAGAGGGGGAGAGAGAAAGAGAATCTCCAGCAGACTCCCTGCCGAGTGCAGAGGCTGATGAGGGGCTCGATCATGACCCAGATCATGACCTGAACCAGTCGAGTTGGATACAACCAATGGAGCCACACTTAAATATTTTTTTTTTTTTAAGATTTTATTTATTTATTTGACAGAGAAAGATCACAAGTAGGCAGAGAGGCAGTCGGGGGGTGGGGGGGAAACAGGCTCCCCGCTGAGCAAAGAGCCCAATGTGGGGCTCGATCCCAGGACCCTGAGATCATGACCTGAGCCGAAGGCAGCAGCTTAACCCACTGAGCCACTCAGGTGCCCCTAATATTTTATTTTTATTACTTACTCTGAATTAAGCTTTTTTTCCTAAATTTGGACAAATCCTTTTCTACACTTATGAGTGCCTACCAGGCATTGTGCTGAACACCAATAATGAAAAGATAAATAATACTGTGCTCCTTCTAGCGAAGTACTTGCTATCTGGCTGAGGTCACTTTTGGGGGGGGTGGGGCTTTCCATCACCGAGATGAAAGTGTTCACAGACACTCACAGCAAATGTTCATTAACATTAGGATACTTGGGACCACAATGACTGACCTTTTTATTGAGTTTATGAATCTACCCATTTGGAGTTAGGTCTTCCTGTCAGAGTATAGTCAACAAAAATTAAGTATATTCCTTATTTCTTATTGTAGATATCCCTAATATTTATATAATTTTGGTTTTATAAAATTATTGAAGTAAAGAAGGGAGTAATGAGATGCATCTGGTTTTGGCCAGTTTGTTTAATTTTTATATGAGCGTCCAGAAATTGTTTTCTAAGGTAAATTTTTAGAAAATGAAAAATAAAATGAGAGGTTAATAGTTCATGTTAACTTCAGTTATGTGTTTGTTTTTTTGTGTTGTTGTTAACATTTTAAGTATTAAACATAGATTAAGAAGAATTTAAATGTTTCCTGTTCTGTATAAACACTAGTGGTTTTTTTAGGATGTTCATTTGTTGACAAAAACTTGCGACACACATTTTTCCATTAATGTATTCTCTTGTAATAACAAATTCACGTGTGTCCTGCCATATACATTGAAGCATTGAATATGGGGTTATCTTTAAGTGCTGCTGAGTCCATCTGAGAGCTGGGGTCCAGCACACAGCTCTGGTGCCCACACCAGGAGCACACGGGAACAGTCCAGAGGCCGGAAAGGGAGGTCAGCCAGCACCATTCCACATCTTGGCCAGCCCCAGCTACATCTAGCCTCCTCCGGCCATAATGACCATTTGCTTTCCTCTACCCAGGCAGGTGATTCCATTGGACAGAAGCTTTCACGAAAGCCATGAATGTCATACCTCCCCTTGAGCCACTTGAAAGGCAGGAACATAACAGGATGCTGCTTCTCCTAGCTCGGGGAGCCACCATAGTGAGATGAGGGTTAAAGTCTTCTCCCACTAAGACTTGATTCGTGGAGCTCCTGGCTGACCTTTCTCACTTGGGTTCAAACTAGCCAAGAATAAGAATATCTCCACAATGATTTATCCTTTCAAACTACCCCTGAGTACTTATTTGTAGTTTAAACTTGTGTTTATTCTACAGCTTTAAAAGGAGATTATATGATGCAATTAGGTTTTGCAATTTGAAGTCATTCAAAGTGATCCTACCAGTTAGGTTATCTGTTCTCTTTTCAGTTCCTGATGTTTCTCTAAAAAGCTGGCCAGAGAGATTGGTATCTGTTACATTCCTGAAGGTCTAAAGGAAAGGGTCTTTTATAATTGCAGTGGCTGCTTATGCTTCCTGACTCTAAATGATTTTCTACGATTTCAACATTTTTTGGTCTTTTGTTATTTTCTTAAAAATCTTTAGATTATCAAAAGAATTGTCTGATCATTCAAGCAAGGCCACTGTGTACAGTTAGGCGAGTTTCACACTGCACCAACTTAGCACGTGTATTTGGTGGCCCTGCTTATCAGATGCTAGTTCCCAAACCTGTATTCAACTTTATTGATCTTAACTTTGACCTCTCATCTTTCTCACATTCCTTGAAAACTTTAAATGCCAATTCTGAGCATTTTGCTGAAATAAGAACTGATCAGTTTTGGATAGGACTTCATGGTTCTTGTATATTCATATACCCTCATGACATGTGAGAATTTTAACGATCACAGAACCATATTTACACGGGTATACATTTATCTTTTTATTTTTTTATTAAGACCCTGGTATGAGATTTAAGCTGAATGGGCACAATCAATAAAGAACAATTTGAAGAACTATTCAAAAGCAGAACTCTGTACAAAAGAAATTACCTGCCTCTGCCAGGGGGTTGGACGGGACAGCAAGAATCTGTATTTAGTTTAAAATACAAAATGAATTTAATTCGCCTTCACTTTTATTTGCCTTCACTTTAATTTGCCTTTACTTCAACATTGGTTTGAACCTAGCTTTTTCCCTAGTTTAGTAAAATGTCCAGCTGTCAGGGCTGATAATGCTTTCAGTAACATTGTATTTTTATGATTAAATCTGGCATGTGCTGGAACATCAAAGCTTTCCTTCCTCAGACATTTCTTGAGTGTCTCCTCTTTGCCAGTCACCGTGTAAGACTGGGGATGTAGTGATGAGTAAGGAAGAGAAGCTCATAGTCCAGTGGGACAGACAGGCACACAACTGGAGGCAGTACGATAAATTCAACAGTGGGGGTACTATTGGGCACAGTGAGGACTAACCAGTTCTGCTGATGGGCTTAGGGAAAGCTTATCAGAAAGATCTGTGTTCGGAAAAATAAAGTCGTGCCTCGGATTTCATGTGAAATAGGTACCCCCCGCTTCAGATCATTTATGGATTTTCTTCTGCACTGCCATTGCAGATGTGGACCAGAATTTGATGGACCGCCTCCAGAGAGTGAATAACACCTTATCCAGCCAAATTAGCCGTTTACAGAACATCCGCAATACCATTGAAGAGACTGGAAACCTGGCTGAGCAAGCCCGTGCCAGGGTGGAGAGCACAGAGCAGCTGATTGAAATCGCGACCCAAGAACTTGAGAAAGCAAAGATTGCTGTTGCCAATGTGGTGAGTGGGAAGGTCTGAGGCTGGGGCACAGGAGTCCCCTGGTAATTTGTAGCAAGTCTTACTGTCAACTGAATGGTTCAGCGAAACTGATTCTTTGTGTCTTTTTGGCTCTAAGCATGGAGCCAGAAAGCCACGTTGCTCAAAGTTGTCATTAAATAGTTTATCATGAACGGGATAAAAACCAAAGAACATCTGGGTCCTTTCTCTAGCTTTGTTCCTTCTATGGCACTAGTCAATTTAAACTTCCGTTCTCCTTTGGTGAAAATAGAAATCATAATCTGTAGTCAAGGATGCTGATCTTAATGAAAAATCTTTGAATTAATTGAGACATCCTTTTTACTAATAGAAATTTGGTTTTGACACTTGCTTTATTAAATTTAAATAGTTCAGTCCTTTAAGATTAGTGCTTCTTTTCCAATTCAGTCAATCACTCAGCCGGAGTCTACAGGGGACCCAAACAACATGACTCTTTTGGCAGAAGAGGCACGAAAGCTTGCTGAACGGTAAGCTCCAGATCCCTGTGTCTTAATGGTTAAATTATAACTGTCCTTACAGTGTGGACGTGTTGTCCCCTCCTTCACCCACAGACACTTTTCACATAACCCACTTTTGCAAAGTTGGCTCTTTTCTGGAATGTTATTGGCTGTGTGTACTCTTGCCTCTCCTTTGAAATTAGAATATTGACTTTGAATATTTGAACATGATGCTTTGGAGGGAAATTATATTTACACATCTCAAAGAAAACTATAACATTTTTAGATTTTTTAATTTCAAAACCTTAAAGTGATAACTAAGAAGCACAGTTGAATTTAGTTATTTTTTTAGTTTTTAAAATTAATTTTTAACAAAAACATTTAACTCCCAGATTTTAATAGAGAACACTTACTAACCCATAGTACCTTTGGAAAATCAGCCCAAGAAAACAGACCATTTCACTCTTCCTTTTTTTTGAGACTTTTTTAAATTATTAAGTTTAAGATAGTTCCTTAGGAAAAACTCTGAAGTTGTAGGAGAGTATGAAATTGAAAAAAAATTGTTGAAGTAGTTGCTAGAATGTAGACTTCATGAAGGGCAGGTGTTTTTGTGTGTCTCATTCACTGCTAAAGTTCCGATACCTAAAACGACGTCTGGGACATAGTAAGTACGCAGTCACTGTTTGTTGAATGAATTGCAGAGCAGCTAGTAGACCTCATGGGTAAGCCCGACATTAGAATTTTAGCCTCATTATTCAGAGCAATTACTTTGGCTTCTTGCTTTAACCGTGTGCTCTCTTTCTGTTCTTTGTAAATGTAAATGTGTTAGCTGTGTCATTTATTTCATAGAACATTGATGATTTCATAGCTGGATCTTCTGATTAAAAGAAGATAGCTGAAAACATATGGAGAATTCCCAAGGAAATTAGGTCTTGAAAATAAAATTATTCTGGTGTCTTTCATACAGGAATTTTGAAAGAAACCTTAGCCTACCAAAAAGGAATGGCCATATATGGGAGTGTGACACTGTAATATGAAGTTTTAGAGCTCTACTATGAAGTTTTAGCCGTTCCACAGCTGAAATCTGCATTATTTGGCTGGATTCCCTGTTGACATGTTGCTTTCCACTTGGTGTTGGGTTACTTTTCCTTGCCAGTAATTGGGTTCCATACGAGAAGTCTGAGCAGTTGGAGGCTGTTTCAAGACTATGTAGTAACTGAACCAGAGTAGGGATCAAACATTAGGTCTGGGACTCTGTTTAAGTCTAGATGAGTTCTTGCCAGCATACATGGTTTCACAGATCAATTATTCTTTTTTTTTTTTTTTAAGATTTTATTTATTTATTTGACAGAGAGAGATTACAAGTAGACAGAGAGGCAGGCAGAGAGAGAGAGAGAGAGAGAGAGAGAGAGAGGGAAGCAGGCTCCCTGCTGAGCAGAGAGCCCGATGCGGGACTCGATCCCAGGACCCTGAGATCATGACCTGAGCCGAAGGCAGCAGCTTAACCCACTGAGCCACCCAGGCGCCCCCAGATCAATTATTCTTAAAGGATTTTATTTAGAAGCAATTTTTGGAAGAAATGTAGACATTTGCCCCTATAAACTTTATAGGAAAATGTCATTTGGAAAATACCATTTTCTCAGATTGTAGAATGCTGTTGTAAACTTAGCCCCACTGAAATGGTTGCAGAGTTCCCAATTTATAAGAATTTTTCAATATTTATAGGGCTCTGTCCATATTAGTAAATGTATATATAACAAGGTGAGCATTACCTGAATTCTGCTTTTTTCCCTATTAAGTCATTCTGTTTCACAGTTTATTTTTTCTTTTACATTATACAGCCATAAACAAGAAGCCGATGACATCGTACGTGTGGCGAAGACAGCTAATGATACATCAACTGAGGCCTATAATCTGCTTCTGAGAACGCTGGCGGGAGAAAACCAAACAGCACTTGAGATTGAAGAACTTAATAGAAAGTGAGTGTTGTTTCAAAGTGGCTTATGGCCCTTCAGTTGTGCTTGCAAGTAGAACCAGTTCGATGAAAAATTAAATGCCGATGGATTCAGAGAGCATATCCGTGCAGGAAGATCTCTTTTGTTAATGTTACTTTTGAAACGGTGCAGTGGTTGGAGCAGGGGCTGTAGAGCCGCAGAGGTTTTATTTGTTCCAATTTCTGTAACCACAGAGAAAGGTAACAAGACTAGCTGTGATACTTAAATTTCTGCATCAAGGAAAAAAGAAGAAAGTATCCTAGAGTCCGTAGAGAAAATATACTTGAGCTACAAGTATTTAAAAGGTGTCCAAAAAAAGAAAGAGGTGGTAAAAACCATGTGGTATAAATAGAAGTGAACAGATGAAATCTAAAGTTAAGCTGTGTTGGTATTAAATAATAGCATTTTCTTTGACGTTTCGGAAATTCTGTTGCAGGGATCTGAACCCGAATGAGTGTGGTTAAGGTTAAGATGCCAAAAGCAACTAAGTTTTTCGTTAAATCTTTTGCTCCTTAGGTATGAACAAGCAAAGAACATGTCACAGGATCTGGAGAAGCAAGCTGCCCGGGTACACGAGGAGGCCAAAAGGGCTGGAGATAAGGCGGTGGAGATCTATGCCAGCGTTGCCCAGCTGACACCCGTGGACTCGGAAGCCCTGGAGGTATGGGCTGGATGACCTGCATGCACAGGGGTTGGCTGCCACTGCCGTCACCCATCCAGAGCACGCGGCCTCAGCCTCCCCCGCCCACACACACACCCCATACCCCCCTACATCCCCAGTCTGGGTAAGAGCTATTCTGACTGCCCTACCACTGTCACTGTCCCAGACCTCCTCTGTCCTCCAGCTGACTCACTGATAGTGTCAAGTTCTGCCTCAGGTATGTTCACTTACTGAGGTCAAGAATCCCGTGATTATAGAGATAGCAAGGACTACTTCAGTGATAGGAATAATCACTCCTAAGTCTTTAATATAAATCCAAATTATTATATATTTGTGTTTATTAGAACAGAGTACACCCAGACCCTTACGCCCAGGCACACTTTGGTTGAGGACAAGAGAGAAATAAAAGAAAGTGGTTTAAATGAAAGAACTACATCAGGATGCTATTAGGCAGCTAAAGAATCACTAGGGGTTATGGTAGGATTTTATTACATCTGTACTCGACTCCTGAATCCTCATTCCAGGCCCTGTATAAATGCTCGATTTTTCACATTGAATTTGAAATTTAATAGTTTACTTTTTATGTTGGAGGCATTGACGTGGTTTTCTTACCGTCAGGCTTGCGTTCGTTCTCTTCAGACAAGTACATACAGTCTGATCTCGCATGTTTGAAGTTTGAGAACAAGCAAAACTAATTGGTGATAAAAGCCAGACCAGGGGCAGCTGCATTGTTGAAAAGATAGGTGTGGAAATTAACTGGAAAGAGATACAAGGGAATTCCCTGGGGTGGAAATATCCTGTGTCTTGTTTGGGGTGTTGGTTACACAGGTCAATATATTTGTCAAAACTCCTCTCACTAAGTGCTCTGCATTTTACTGTGTGTAGAGTATACGTCAATTAAAAAAAAAAAAAAAAAAAGTCCATAAAATCTTGACCTGTGCTGTTCTTTTAAAGATATCTCTGAGTGTTAAGCGTTAAACACAGTTACTAAGCCTACCTTTTCATCAGGGTCATTGTTTTGTCTACAAGGTCACAACCTTACTTGCTTTTTACAGAGTGAGGCAAATAAAATCAAGAAGGAAGCGGAGGATCTAGACCGTCTAATTGACCAGAAATTAAAAGATTATGAGGACCTCAGAGAGGACATGAGAGGGAAGGAACTTGAAGTCAAGAAGCTTCTGGAGAAAGGAAAGACTGAACAGCAGGTTGGTCTGATTTGCAGGCGGCTTCATCCCTTGAGGCCAGCTCTGGAACTGTGCCAGCGTGAGCTGTGTCCGTGACGTGACCCGGCACAGGGGCCGCCAGCCCTCAGGAATTCAGGGACAGAACTTGTGTGGGGAGCCCTGGCCCAGCTGCCCCGTGCTGGCAGGTGGCAAGGTGGGAGGTGCCTGGTCTGGTAGGAGGAAGAAGGGAGTCACCTTGGAGGGTGTGTCCTCTGATCCTGCCATGTGTTTGCAGACTGCGGACCAGCTCCTAGCCCGGGCAGATGCCGCCAAGGCTCTTGCAGAAGAAGCTGCTAAAAAGGGACGAAATACGTTACAAGAAGCCAATGACATCCTCAACAACCTGAAGGGTATGAAAGACTCACAGAGTAGCGTCAGTTTCTATGTTTTCTTCACTGAGGCGATTTCCTTTTTTTTTTTTTTTTTTTTTTTAATTTTTACCATGAGATTCTCAAAATATACACCATATGAAAGGGGAGAGTATAACAGATCCCCTAAATCTATCATCCAATTCAACAGTGAATGATTTTTACTACATTAACTCATTAACTTCATCCCCCAACCTCCACCCTACTTTTTTTTATACTGAGGGATTTCAAAGAAATATCCAAGAGCTCGTGTCATTTTACCCCTTTGTACCTCAGTATGAAAATAAAACCAAAAACAAGGAAATTTTCTGATATTAGAATAACTCGTGTTATCAAGATATGCCTGTTTAGCTGGTTCGTGTTGGTAAACGGAGATTATTTTTAATTTTCTCTTTGTGCCTTCTGTCCTCATCCAAAAGAAAAAAGAAATGTGCTCAATTCACTGGCAGGTCCTGGACTTGTCTCTGCTAAAATGGCCCGTAGGGTCTATAAACATGGAAGCTTTCCAAGATAAGGCTATATGGGCTCTGGTTTCAGTGGGATTGGGTGAGGATCCCTGACCCACCTCGTACTTCTGTGACTCCTTGGGGGGAAATTATCTCCCTCTTTAATCTTCAGTTCTCATGTGTAAAAATGATACAGGGCCTGCCTCACAGGCATAGAAAAAAGCTCTTTACTCAGTAGCTAACACATTTAGTGAACACTAAATAAACTGCAGCTTTTAATACTGGTTGCCGTGCAGTAACGGCAGACTTACTGCTTTGCACGAAAATAAACTTCATTCTAGAAACGTGTTCTTCATAGGAATCTATGAAGCTGGGCACTTCGTCGTTTAAGGCCGTCTGTGCTGTTTTTCATTTTTCTCTCCTGACGGTCATTGTTCGTAAAACAGAATCCCGTTGCGGCTCCCTAAAAGGTTCCCTTCTGGCTGGCTGAGGCTGAGAGTCTAGTTCACATGCGTTCCCTGAACTTGCTTTATTTTAGATTTCGATCAACGAGTGAACGATAACAAGACTGCTGCCGAGGAGGCTTTAAGGAGAATCCCTGCCATCAACCAGACGATAATGGAAGCCAACGAAAAGACGAGGGAGGCCCAGCTGGCGCTGGGCAATGCTGCCGCGGACGCCACTGAGGCCAAGAGCAAGGCCCACGAGGCGGAGAGGATCGCCAGCGCCGTCCAGAAGGTGTGCGCTTCGCCCTTCTCCCCAGCAGTCTCTGTCCCTGTGTTTCTCTAGTCCTCTTCTGGTTTCTTTCCAGATCCCTAAAAGCCCTTGCAGGCTTCTTCCTCAACTCCAGTAAGATTATCTTAAACTGTCTTTGTTCATTTTTTACTGGGAAGTTAGAGTAGTTAAGTACGTTGACCGAAGAGGGAGAGTCATTGAAATCATTGGAAGGGCCCTTGAACATTTCTGCTGTTGTCTCAGCGGCAGGGTCTACGTGGTGAGGAGGGGGATGGCTTCATGGGCCCATGGCGTGCCCTGCATGAAAAAATCACACTCTTCTCAAATAAACGCAGTTCTTTGACACGGACAGCTGACTTTTTTTTCAATCTTGTGTAGAGTTCCAGGTCAGTAAAACTCTCAGGCCCCTCTTTCGAGCATATTTTATATCTGAGCCCTACCTTATTTAGCTGCCACTGCTAGGATTCTTTCTACTCATCTCTTTTTTTCCCTTTTTTTTTTAAGGTTTTATTTATTTATTGGAGAGGGAGACAGAGCATGAGTGGGGAAGGGGCAGAGGGAGAAGCAGACTCCCCACTGAGCATGGATTCTGACATAAGGCTCCATCCCAGGACCCTGAGATTGTGACCTCAGCCAAAGTCCTGTGCTTTAACCAGCTGAGCCACCCAAGTGTCGTCCCCTTTCTACGATCATCTTAAGGAATAATTTCTTTAAGCTGGCTTTTTCTTATTTAAAGGAATAAATCTGTTTATTTTATTTAAAGGAGAGATTGGAACAGATTCTCAAAATAATGTGTTTGAGAATCACGTACATTTTTTAGTTTGCTTAGAACAAGTTGGTTTTAGGATTAATTATATTTTATAAAATACTCGTACATCAGGATCACGGTCTTTTTGTATCTTGTGATGAACAGCCAAGTAGAACGAGGCTACTGCATTTGAACTGAAAATGTATCCAAGTCAAAGGGTCTAACCAGTATGATGTGCTGGGAAGTGTACACCATGTAAGTGTTCTATTTGCTAGCCATGTGACCTCAACTAAAAACAGCAGTGATAGAACAAGAAATATTAAGGACAAACAAGAGGAAAGAAATGGAAGTGTTTTATAAAATATAAAGTGCTGTTTTGTTAGGCGGTAACGCTAGCTTTTCTTTCCTTCCTGTTGTTTGGAACCCAAATAAATGGTACTCTAAATCAGCATATAGTGTAATTTCCTGCCCTGTTCTTTCTGGGTTATATTTTCGAACCATTGTACAGATTATAAAAGGTGTGGGAATGTAGCTTAGAAAGAGGAAAGCTTTTCTTCATTAGTAGTTCTTTATTGTGTGCCTAGAACGCTACGAGCACCAAGGCGGAAGCCGAAAGGACTTTTGCAGAAGTTACAGACCTGGATAACGAAGTGAACACTATGTTGAAACAACTACAGGAAGCAGAAAAGGAGCTAAAGAAAAAACAGGAGGACGCTGACCAGGATATGATGATGGCAGGGATGGTAAGCAGTTTGGGCCTGTTTGCTCGTGGGCAGAAAGTGGAGGGTGTCTAATGACAAGGGTCTCTCCGTCTTGTTAAGAAGAGTCTCTTTCATATTGACTTCTGTTTTTCATTGTGTTTTCTGGCCAAGAATCGGGTTCGTAACTTACATAGAAGACAAAGAATTTGGATCTCTTGTGCGGTTATTGCACAATTGTCCTGTCCCAAAGCTTCTCTCCATTAAAAGCAAAACATTCCTTTTTACACATTGAAGTTTTAGGACATTGAAAAGTATGTAGTTGTGTTTTTGGATGGGTGATTCACACATGGTATAAAATCAGAAAGAAATAAAAAGGAATACAATGAGAAGTTAATTTCCTTCCTACTCTTGTTATCCCAGCAACTTACTTTCTCGAGACAAAGACCAGTTTCTTGTGTTTCATTTTTGATGATGACAAAAACATACCAAACTTATATCTAATTTAATTTTTTTTATTTTTTTATTTATTTATTTTTTTTACCTTTTGTGATGATGTATATACATAACACTGTTGGTGACAAAATTGACTGAGGAATGCATGGCCCAAGAAAGAACAAGGGTGTGTTTTTCAGTTGTATGCTCTATTTTTTTTTTTTTTTAAGATTTTATTTATTTATTTGACAGAGAGAGATCACAAGTAGACGGAGAGGCAGGCAGAGAGAGAGAGAGAGAGAGAGAGAGAGAGAGAAGCAGGCTCCCTGCTGAGCAGAGAGCCCGATGCGGGACTCGATCCCAGGACCCTGAGATCATGACCTGAGCCGAAGGCAGCGGCTTAACCCACTGAGCCACCCAGGCGCCCCTGTATGCTCTATTTTGCTTTCAAAGTGGAAACATAACTTTGCAGTTCAGTCTGATTACAGTCACCGTAATGAACTTGTTTAATTGTGCACTAGCAGCCCAAGCAAGGGACCCTTTTCCCACTCTTGTGGAAAAACAGGCCTTTTACTCTGGCTGATTTTCGCCTTGGGACAGGAAGGAGAAATACTAACCCTGTTGATCTAGGTAGAGAAGACTCTAGGAAAGCGGTAACAGGAAGCACCCTCGTGCAAACACTCTATTTTAGTTCACTTTTGGGGTTTTGTTTTGGACGGTCTCAATTTTCTATAGCAAGGGATGGTTCAGAAAGAAATTCCCATATAGGAAAAAATACCCATTTCTCGTATGTGCTGAGGGTCTCTGCATTTCATGTTTGTTTGTTTTTTTTAAGATTTTATTTATTTATTTGACAGAGATCAAGTAGGCAGAGAGGCAGGCGGGGGGCGGGGGGAGCAGGCTCCCTGCTGAGCACAGAGCCCGACGTAGGCCTCGATCCCTGAGATCCTGACCTGAGATCATGACCTGAGCCAAAGGCAGAGGCTTAACTTTCTGAGCCACCCAGGTGCCCCTGCATTTCATTTTTAATATGGTTTTTAATATGGTGGGTTTAGAGCCTGTGGAAAGGAGGAAAAGGCTATGTTCTTGATGAGCTTTGGAAAAGAGGGTATGGATTCCGCTCAGAGGGTGGAAGAGCATCCATCTTTGTTCTTTCTGGTAAATAACTTCTGATGAACACAAAGCAGCCTCACGCACCCTGTCCCATTTGTATGGACGTCAGTCCTAAAGGCATGGCACCGAGCCCGTGTTGTTTGAGTCTGTCACATCACCTTTTTCGTCAAAAGAGTAAAGGCTGATGGTTGTCCTGGAAGAGGAAGCTGGAGCCCGCAGGTTGCACGCGGTAGCATCGCTCTCTGCTGCCCATGGCGAAGTCACTCAGCCTCTCCCAGGATGCGCAGAACAGCCTGTCAGGGCTCAGTGAGACTGGCTGTGACTTCTGTGGAGGTCCAGCGTTCATTGGGGAAGTTTTTTTTTTCCCCTCACACATTTCCTTTTTTTAAAATCTTACATTGTTTCTATCCAAAAATGCTGCAGTGTCTTGAGCCAAAAACTGGGGAAAACAATTCTGTGGTGGGGAGCTCAAAGCCGCTCACTTCTATCCTGAGTGGATTTATTTGTGAGAGCATCTGTTTTCTGATATTCAGACACTTCCTCTTCCATTGTCATTTCCTGTGACTCATACACAGGGTATTTGTTCAGGTTTTATGGAATTTTCCCAAATACATTTACCTTTGGTTGATTTACAAAATGTAAACTATGTATCATCCCGGTTTGTGCGTATGTGAGTATGCACTCACAGGGGGAGGGGTGCTACAGAAGGTGTCCCTTGATTACGAAATTTTGTTGAGAATAGGAATTTCCAATAATCAAGTCTCTAAGAGTGTCCTGAAGGACATGTTTTGGTTCTAAAACGTACTTTTTATGCTTGTCCTTAAAAATCCCTTGTTTCTGCTTGATGAATTTGGTCACGAATCCACTTCCATGTGTTCTTGATTGAGAAAGTGAGAAAAGTAGATGATATTGGCCTTTTTGAAATATACAGTCAGTGTAGGTATGCAGACTACCTACTTGTGGTTGTTCTGTGAATTAACAATAGCAACATTTCACCATGAAGATATACCGAAAGACACCCCCCCCCTCAAAAAAAAAAGCCAAAACAAAAGCAAACCTCATACAATGAGAGACTGTAATTTCACGAGTCAGGAAAGAGGAAGCCTGTGAAAATTGGACTTGCTGGCTGATTGGGGGGAAAAAAATCTCAGGAACTTGAGCACGCACCTTCAGAACTGTTGGCATCTATCATCTGTCCTTTTCCCGGTACAGGCTTCTCAGGCTGCTCAGGAAGCCGAGATCAATGCCAGAAAGGCCAAAAATTCCGTTACCAGCCTCCTCCACCTGATCAATGAGCTCCTGGAGCAGCTGGGTAAGTGGCTGTAGAGTCGTTGTGGGTGGCCTCGGGATTCTTTGTGCTGCTGCTGGGTCTGATACACTCAACACAAAAGCAGACGCTACAACATGACCATTGTGTGAACTGAGTCAGGGCTCAAGGTTGTATTAATTCAGCAAGAACTTACGAGGTCCTTCCATGGCATGTGACCTGAGTCCTGCAATCTGACCACAGTCCAGGGACTCCGAGGTGGCTCACTTGCCGCCGATGTTTAGGATAGAGGAGCGGTGACTGTTCTTAGCTCGTCCTGCTGGCAGGGCGTCTTTCCGGGGTTTGAAGTCAAGGATTTCAGTGGGAGAGTGGGAGAGCACTTTAAACTGGAAATGACTTCCCTGCCTGGAATTCTGCTCATTTGCTCATTAAAAGGAGAATCTGATGAGGTGACAGCTTGTCAAAAAGAGAATAAGCTTGATTTTTTAAGGAAACGCAAGGATGCTGAAATGCTCTTTTAATCCAGTGTGATGGGGAGCAGGCTTTGTCACAAGACAGATTTTGTCGCAGCCTCCATTACAAAGTGGTGACACTCCAGCCCATACAGCTTCACGGCAAGGCATTCTGCTTTAGCCTTGAAGGTTTGGTCAGTGTTTTGTTTGGGGTTTTTTGTTTGGTTGGTTGGTTGGTTTGTTTTGTTTTGTTTGGAGCGTGGGAGAGGGTGTATTTTTTATCTGTCTCAAATATCAAGAATAATCAATTATGTGCTGTCAGATGGGTTTTAAAATGAAAGGAGCTAGAAGATACAGCTTTTTGTGCCAGAAAGAGCTGAATTTCAAAGTTAGTTGGCTTGGGTTGGAGTCTTTATTTCCTAGGCTTGTAAACTGTGCAAACTTGGGCAAATTACTGAACATCTGAGAATCACTGGCGGAATATGGTCTTGTGAGAGTTTAGTCAAGTACAGTATGCATAAAGTCTTGAGCACTGTATGGCCATCTGCTTTCATTAATTATGGAAACAATCCTTTCCAGGAGAACCTCCTTTTCTTGCTAATTTTAAAGCGAAGCTTTTGCTGGAATTGTTTCAACATTTTCATCCCTGGCCATTTTCCATAGGAGGGCTCCAAATAGTGTCTAACTCCTAAAGGCAGGACAGAACTCCCCGGAATTAACTCAGACTCCCTGGAAGCTAAAGAGCCAAGGGCTTAGCATTCTAGCTTGAAGATTTTTATGTTCAGTAGATGGCATTGAAATGACATACAGTTTACATATATGAACATGAAAATGGTATTATGTTACCAGATGACCTTCAGACCCACAGGTGAGGCTTAAGACCTCAAGCACAGCAGCTGTGTATTTAGACAACATTTCACAAAAACTGTTTACTCAGACAAAACATCCAGCCCAGTATCCATTATATGCTCTGACCTGTCCTTGCTAAGTTAGGTCCGCATTTGTACATGCTCTGCATTGTTCATGCCCTTGCGTGACACAAACAGTCTACAAGTCCCCTTTGCAGGCCACCATGGCATAGTGGCAGCTGCTGGCTCCATTTATATGAAAGACTAGTGGAAGTGCTTGCGGAGTGATGTGGTAATTCTTACTGAAAGCATCTGTTTCCTCCTGTGTCCTTTCTGACTCTACAGGGCAGCTGGACACGGTGGACCTGAACAAGCTCAATGAGATCGAAGGCACCTTGAACAAAGCCAAAGATGAAATGAGAGTCAGTGATCTCGACCGGAAAGTGTCTGATCTGGAGAACGAGGCCAGGAAGCAAGAGGCCGCCATCATGGACTATAACAGAGATATCGAGGAGATCATGAAGGACATTCGCAACCTGGAAGACATCAAGAAGACCTTACCGTCTGGCTGCTTCAACACCCCGTCCATTGAAAAGCCCTAGGGCCATCTTTCAGGGCTGGAAGGTAGCACCCCGCAACCGGGGAGCTCTCGTGAGGCCACAGAGTGCCTTAACACAAAGATTACATTTTTTTCAGACCCCCACTTCTCTGCTGCTCTCCACCACTGTCCTTTTGAACCAGGAAAATTCACAAAGCTTAAAGAGAAGCAAGTCAGACATCACGAATCGGGAACAAAGGGTTTTATCTGATAGTCTCTCTTCCACAGAAGGCGCTTCCTTACCCACACTTTCCCTTCTGAGTCGCATGAGGACGTGGCGTCTTACGTTATCATATGGTGGTGTAAACACTTCGTGGGAACCATTGTCTGCCGGGGCTGAGCAAGTAGCCCTCCCTTTTCTCCCTGATACCAACAGAACCTCCTCAGTCTTAGTACTCTTGTTTCTATGAAGGAAAAGTTTGGCTACAAGTAGTAGCGTTGTGATGGCCAGTATATCCAATCTATCGATAAAGAAAGTGCACCTACATCTACTACCCCTCCTCCTTTTACGCAAAAGGAAATAAACATCCTGTGCCAAAGGTATTGGTTACTTAGAATGTCAAGAGCCATCGTCAGTTGTTTTAGCTCTTTTGAGTATAGGACACTGAGCCATCCACGGGTAAGGATGCAATTGTTCCTGACAGTCTCCGGGAGAATGAGGCTGCGGAAGTAGGCGGAACGTCTTCTCATATGTTAATAGTTGACTAGGAAAGATACACTTTTTTCAGATCTTTGGGCAGCTGATAAATCTGGATGGGGCAGCTTGCACTCACCAATAGACATCTTCTGATATTCCTAGCAATGGAATTTATACAGAAGAAATAGGGATATGATAACCACTAAGTTTTGTTTTTGTTTTTGTTTTCCCAAAATCAAACTAATTCCTAGAGTTTTTTTTTTTAGTGTATTGGTCTTGGAACTAGTGCTGGTATCCGGTAGAGCAGTTGGTCCCTAAGATCTTGACAAACCAACAAGAAACAAGCCGCCTTATCCTGGTCTTTCCTAGCAAAGGGATAAAACTGAGATGCAGCTTGTACGGTCAGGATCCCGTATATCCATTTTTCTTCCATTGGGGAGAGATGACACTTTTGACCCTTATCCTCAATTATCTTCTGATGTTCCCATCTTCTAGGATCGCGCTACACACCTAGTCTGCCGACTCCTGGTGGCAAACCCTTGCACTCAGTCTTCCACACAGCTGCCAGCACCATCTAGTTCCTGCACTTTGTGACCCAGACCCACTCGACACCTTCCCTCTCGGTGCAGAGGGAGGCCCCGTAGGTGGAGTTGCCTAGCTGGCTTCTTGGCTTCGGATCCTCAGGTCTGTGGTTCTCTCTCAAGACCACGGCGTGAAGATTCTCCTGCCACACAACCCCTTCCTCCTCCCAACCCACCTTCGAGAAACATATATAGCCTTTAACACTATGCAACTTTGTACTTTGCGTAGCGGGGGGAAAGAAACTATTATCTGACACACTGGTGCTATTAATTATTTCAAATTTATATTTTTGTGTGAATGTTTTTTTTTTGTTTATCATGATTATAGAGTAAGGAATTTATGTAAATATACTTGGTCCTATTTCTAGAATGGCACTGTCTGTTCACTTCTTCACCCCATTCTTCCCCATCACTGGCACAGCGTGTCTGTAGACCTCCTTCCCTTCCATCTGCGGGTCTTCGCTCGGCGTCTGTCCCCCGCACTCGGCCCTTCGCCTCGCGTCCGCGACATGTTCATTTTCTAGCGCGAATGCCGACCCGCTTTCCCTCCACCCACGGCCGCTCCGCGGGGTGCCTCCCACCCTCCTCCCGGGACCCGAAACTGCGGCCTGATGTTCCCAGGCCCGCTCCCGCGCAGGCCGTGGCGGGATGTGAGCGCATTTTGCTGAATGGCATCTCCAGCATCAATGTGGGTCTAACCGGGAAGGAGCTGCAGAGGCCCTTTCCCATGGTGGGAGCTGGACGGGCCCGTTTGAGGGGGGAGTGTGTGACCGCTGAGCGCTCAGAGGGCCTCAGGGATGGTGGACAGACAGGTGGAGTGGGAGCGGCCGAGTGTCCAGGTTCACCCCTTGCCGCCTCCTGGCGTACCAGAGTCGGCTCCAAAGGCTTTGACTTGGGACACCCTGGCTTTCTCTCAGCTGCTTTGCTCAGGCCTCTTCTGTTGCCAGGTTTTCACATCAGCATCTCCTAGCTGGTTCCTCGTGTTAAGTGGCCACCTCCTAACAGAGACATTCTGTTCAAGGTTGCGGGACAAGGACCGTAGATCAACTGCCAGGACAGTTTCCCTCTAGCCCGGGGGTCAGCCTCACACCAGTCAGTCTTAGGCTGCAGTGAAGTTTGGAGTGTTTTGTTTTGTTGCTTTTCTCCTCCATCTGTGTAGTATATTTTTAAACAGAATTTTATTTTTAAAATAAAATCTCTTTATAAGACAATACCTGCATTACACTCCTGCAATATACATTATTTTATTGTATAGTTCTAGTTACCTGTATTTTATGTAATGAAACCGACAGGGTGGCTGCTGCAGAGTGCTGCGTGTCGTGGCGGGGGGCGGGGCGTCCAGCTGTGCCCTGGAATTCTTCCTTGTAACCCCAACAGTGGCCCTTTGGTATGTGCCTTCACTCTAGCTGTTTGCCTTAATCTCTACAGTCTCGCTCTCCAGGGTGGTGAATAAAATGCAACACTTGGCATTTTTTTATGTTAAAAAAAAAAACAACAGTATTTTATTTATAATAAAATCTGAATATTTGTAACCCTTTATATTTGGTGTGGCCTGAGTGTGGTACTGAGGACAGAGGATGTTTTGAAAGGTATGATGAAGAGAAAGCTGCTCATAATACCTTCTTTGGGTGACTTATTTAACACACGCACACACACACACATATATATATATATATTTTTTTTTTTTTTTTTCTTTTCCCTTCTCAGATGGGGCTACTTTGGTATGGTCCAGAGGCAGCCAGACTTTTTTCTGTAAAGAGCTAGACTGTACATACTGTAGGCTTCGCAGGCCCTGTAGTCTCTGTTACACCGACTTCGCTCCTGCAGCACAACAGCCCAGACGATGTGTAAACCAACGAGTGTGGCTGCGGTCCAACACGGCTGTTTACAAAGACGGGCGCGGGCCCGAGGGCTGCCATGTACCCGACCCCTTGGGGTGTGATTAATGCCGGCTTAGTGATACCTGAAGACTATTTTAAAATCACCTGGGCTTCTTCAAGTAGCAGCTGTCTTTCTACCTTTACGCCCATAACATCAGCTAAAGGGGGTCTCTTCAGGTGATGAAAACCACTCTCCGTGTAAGAGAATAGACGTAAGTGACATGCTGAGCCCGCAGGCCCATGAGCTCATCGTGCCTCTCCCCACCCAGAGGGTTAGGGTTAGGGTTAGGCTGGAGTGACCTGAGGCCAGGTGAAGCGTTGCGGATACAGAGACCGCTTCGGTTTCCTCCTCGGTGCTCGGTTCATGGCCATGAGTCCCTGCGGATGACCCGCCACCTTCCTGGTCTTCTAACTCCTTGTGACCATGATGATACCTGGGAAAAACCGGAGCCCCCCTCGATTGGACTTGCTCGGAGAGAGCTTTAGAGGGCACCAGTTCCTAGCTTTCACACATACCCTGTTCTTAAGCCGTCTGTAGGACCTGATTCCCACGCAAAGACATCTTTCTAGTTAAAGTGGTGAGTGAGATTTTAAAAATTTGCTCCTATTCCTTTTGTTAGTTTAGGGTCAGCAGTTTCTCCAAAGTTGGTATCGGCATAATCTGGTTCAAAATATCCCCAAAGGTTTACTCCTTAAAGTAAGTCCCCTGATAAATCTGAATTCACCAGCCCCACATCACCAAGCTCAAAATGGAATGGCTGCAGAAGACTTCTGCACCCAGAAGAACCACCAAGTAGAAAGGCAGATGGTACCTGCTTCGTAGGGGGAGGAAGAACCCATCCCAAGGAAAACTCACATCTCCCCAGGGGACCAGAAACAAGACAGTTGTACATAGCAGGTAATTTTGACTGTTCACACTAAGCAGGGTTAAATGAAGGAGATAATTAATCACTGGACTGAAAAATAAGAAACTTCATAGTCAGTAATCTATCAGAGGCTCCAGAAGCATGGAAACCTGGTTTCAGAAGTTACCAGCTAGAGTGCCTTATATTTGTACTGAGTGCCCCAAGAGGAATAGATCTGCTCTGCACAAATGACATTATAAACAGAAATTAATTATATGTGGGGCGCCTGGGTGGCTCAGTCAGACACTTTTGGCTCAGGTCATGGTCTCAGGGTCCTGGGATTGAGCCCCACTTCAGGCTCCCTGCTCAGTGGGGGGTCTGCTTCTCCCCTCTCCCTCTGCCCCCACCTACTCGTACTCTCTCTCAGCTAGGTGAATAAAATCTTTTCTAAAAAAATTATGATATGCTTAAGAAAAGGAAATATTTAACAGAAGTCAAATATAAAAAGTTCCTGGTTGGGAATTCAAATAAGAGAAACCTCAACATTTCCAATGTTGTTGTAACATGTCTTTTCTTTAACTCTTCTGCCTGCCAATGGTTTTCTTTCTCCTTTCTGTTATAGGAGAGCCTGGGGTCAAGGTGTCCCTTGCTCTGTTGACATTGGTCAGTCCTTCCTTATGTCCACCCACCCCCAACCCCAAGCCTTGTATTGGCTTCTGGCATTGCCACGTCTTTATTGATCAGGTGTCTCTCACCGACCTTTCCCCCCAGCCTCCCTACTACTCCCCAAGATCCAGGTCTGTGTATTTCTGTCCACATACAGGAAGTGGGCCCTGGGTTTTCTAAATGGTCTAAAGGTAAAATCAACCTTTCTCATTTGCCTATTCTCTCATTTCTGCTACTTTTCCCCTGCATGAGCAGAAACGGGGTTTATGGATGCTTGTCAATGCCCTTTGTCCCCTCCTTTCAGTATCATTCTGCTCTCCCAGTACTCCCACCGAAGAAGGGATTTGCAGGAAGATAAGCAAGGGAACAGCGCCCACCACACACAGCCAGCTCTGCCAGTGGCAACCGGCTAACGTGATCCGGGCCGAGAGGCCCTTCGCTTGGCATCCCAGCCTCCGTAGCCACTCCCAGCACTACGTGTGTCAGCCAGTTTCACCCACAGCCCCTCTTGTAGGCATCTCTGTCTCCTGGCCCACGCTATAACATTAGTTCCCTTTCTTTTTCCCTAACTCCTGGGAATGGGCCTGGTAAGTTTCAACAGCTTGGTAAGTGTTTCATCCTGTTTGCATGTGTGCCTCAGAGAGCCTCCTAATGCAGGCCATGCAGGGATTGCTTGTGATGAATTCAGTGCAGTTTGTATCTAGTTCTATAACAAGTTGACCATCAGGCCCTTGATCAAAGACATAACCCTCAGATACAGCATTGTTCCCATGAGTATGGCCATTTCAGGGATCCTCTGTGAAAGGTGCCTGGTCATGTCTTTGAGGACAGCCTATCCTCCCACAATCCTTTTTCACCATGGCTAGTAGCAAAAAATTCTACTTGAACTTCAGATTGTTTCTTTTGAGCTCATGGTGTCTGCACTTGTACTGGGATCCTTCGTCAGGTCAGTAACTAAATGCAATCATCGGGGCGCCTGGGCGGCTCAGCCAGCTAAGCATCTGACTCTTGATTTTGGTTCAGGTCACGATCCCAGGGTCCTGCTGGGATCAAGGCCCCCATGGGGCTCTGCGCTCAGTGCGGAGTCTGCTTGTCCCTCTCCCTCTTCTCCTCCCCAACTCACTTTCTCTCTCTCTAAAATAAAATCTTTTAAAAATAAATAAATTCAATCATCAAATTGTGTGCCATAGCAACTAGTGTTAAGAATTTCTAATGCAGGGGAGACTGGGTGGCCCAGTTGGTTAAGGACCTGCCTTAGGTTCAGGTCATGATCTCAGGGTCCTGGGATCGAGCCCCATGTCAGGCTCCCTGCTTGGTTCTCCCTCTCCCTCTGTGTTGTCGCTCTCTTGCTCTTTCTTAAAAATAAATTAAAAGGGGCGCCTGGGTGGCTCAATGGGTTAAGGCCTCTGCCTTCGGCCCAGGTCATGATCCCAGGGTCCTGGGATCGAGCCCCGCATCAGGCTCTCTGCTCAGCAGGGAGCCTGCTTCCTCCTCTCTCTCTGCCTGCCTCTCTGCCTACTTGTGATTTCTGTCTGTCAAATAAATAAATAAAATCTTTAAAAAAAATAAAATGAAGATTAAGAGATATTTTTAAAAATAAATTAAAAAAAAATATATATATATATATAATTTTTTTTAAAGAAAAGATTTCTACTGCAACTTCTTTCTGAATATTCTGCACTTTGCCTTCCAGGATGTAGAATCCGATTTTCCCACTCTGTCCGTTGACCCCAGCCCTTCTTTGCATGGGCGTTTCCTTCCGCATGAGCATGGTTCCCAAGTTGAGGTTAGTACCAAGTAAGCTCGAGTCCAGCCATGAGCAGAAATGTCTGGGGGAAGATGTGCTGTCCTGGTGTGGATTACATGTTCCTGGGTTGCTGAGCAAGCGTCCAGATAAAGGCTCGGGAGAAGCAACTGTGATTTCAGTGATTACATGTCTACAGGGTCAGAGAAGATTGTGTTGCAACTTGCTCGTTCCTCTTGGCTCAGACAGTCTGCTGTCTGCGCTGTCTCGCTCGGAGTGATACGGAGGCTCAGACCTGGCCAGAGAGATGGGTTTTGCCACACAGATTTCAGACAGGTTGCCCTCCTTACATTTTTGAAGGACTGGGGAGGGACTCACACTATTAAGATATCTTGCACTGTACACTATGTTTTGAAAGATGCCTTCATGATTATTTCCTTTCATTTGCCCTTGATTTGATGAGGGTCTTCATTTGACCAACGAGGAAATGCAACCATGGTTTGCTGCCCCATCACCCTAACCACCGTTTTAGCCTGTTGTTCAATTCTCTCATAACTTTGATCCATTTTCTTTTTAAGAACCTCTCTTAGTACATGTACTTTATAATTAGGTTCTTCAAATCCCTTCTTTGGAGAGATCAAGGCAGGATTTAAATATATTAGTAACTTGCCCCATATTAAGGAACCAGTCAGTGGCAGAATTATTACTTGCAATGCAATTGACTTTCAGCATCTGGGCCTATATGCCCCACACAGCTCACACCCCTCTCTCGTTGCCTGTGGCTTTCCCCTCTCTTTCTCTTCTCTTACTTAGCCTCAGGGATAAGGAGCATAGAGCTGGCTCCCCTAGCTTCCTCTAATGTTAACATCTGATATAACCATGGTACATTTTTCAAAACTAAGAAACTACTCTTGGTAGAAGACTTAACTATGGTCTTTTGCCTGCTTTTAAAGAAGCTTCTTTTTCCAGACTCCATTTTTAAAGTAATACTGAATTTTAAAGCAAAATGAAAAATATTCAGCATTAAATACCCAAGCTGTGGGGCAACAGGAGTGTGGATAGTTGATTTTACTTTCATAATATGATCCAAGACTGCCCGGTGTGTAACATGTTCATAATTAACTGCAAGGAATGTCATTAAACAACTTGCTAAAATGTCCTGAAATTTTCAAAAGAGAATTTTTTAAAGCTCCATCAGAATTAATGTCATTCATAACAATATGCCACAAATTGAAGTATTTATTAGAAAAAGAAAATTTATTTATAAAGATTACATTTAAAATTTTTTATTGCATCATTTCAGACCTAGAAACATTGTAAGGGTAGCATAAAAAGTTCTTCAACACTCTTTCCTCAGGTTCCTCAAATGTTCATATTTTATTACATTTGCTTTTTCT